AGTTTTCACAATATTATGTTGCTCCAATATAGGTGACTTATTCATTATCATCTGCATTGATATCAAATATAATTTAATTGTTATCGTATATGGTATCGTATTTATCTGTTATCGTATTTATCTCTGGGTAAAATGAAACTGGATCTACGCTTGCTCAACACTCAAACAATTAAGTGTTTTAACAACCGTAGTAACATTGAATTTATCTGCTTCAATAAACTGCAATGTTGCAGATCGTGCCAGTCATCTTCTCAGTGTTGTTTACATATGTATACTTTTGGTGATATATCAGTATATTTTCTTGTTAATGTTGATTTCGTGTTTAAATAAATGTTCTATTCCTGCAATAATGTTAACTGTATTATTAATAAATACACAACACTATATGAATACAATAATTAATTGAATGAATTAATAATAAAAAAAGTTTTTTTCAAGGAATATATCATGCTATCTCTATTTTATGGACTGTATTTTTTGCTATTCAATTATTTATCAAAACCTCAATTGTAAACTCATAACTTCTGTTAGCTATAAACTAACAATAAATCCTACCTGATTCATAAAATTATTCACATTAGATGTGAATGTGAATAATTGAGTAGTGAATGTGAACAAGTGGTAGCGAAGTGAGGATGGAGTATTGCGTCCTATTGTCTCAGCGGGCGGCTCGACTCCCTGAACCGAGCACTTCGGTTCTGGAATGCACCTGCTGCCTGCATGCACATGGTGGCCGGGATTGTGTGTGTGTGTGTGTGTGTGTGTGTGTGTGTGTGTGTGTGTGTGTGTGTGTGTGTGTGTGTGTGTGTGTGTGTGTGTGTGTGTGTGTGTGTGTGGGTGTGTTTGTGTGTGTGTGTGTGTGTGTGTGTGTGTAAGCGCGTTTGTTTTAGATTTGTTGGCAAAATAGCTGAAACCGACGTAAGAGTGGGAATGGAATTGGTATAAATTCTGTAATAATGACAAAATAAATTGCCAGACTTTTGAGGATATGCATCTAAAATTTGAACTCTTCCCATGGAAACCCAAATCTCCGGTAGCTGGATGGGAAAATTATGTTTTAGTAATATATTTTATTGTCTTTCTAAAAAAAATTCTACCCATATACTGAAGTCCCTCAAGTTATCTCTTACTCACCCGGCTGATTGCAGATTCTTGTCCTTTTGTATTTCTAACATTCCGTTGGTAATACGTTTAACACATTGTTCATCTAATTAGTAACTGAATAATTACCTTGTCTGAGTTATATTTTATCATTGCCCAAACTTGTAATACTCATGGAAAACACTAATTCCCCATTTTCTGTAAATATTACATAATATATACCAATATTATCGTTAATATCATCTTTATCTATATTAATACCAACATTTTCTGAAATACCCAATTTTTATAACAATATAAACATTTTCTATAATAATATATAAATTTGTTATTACACTATAAACCTTTACTATAATAATACTAATTATTATAGAATACTATAATGGATAATATTATATGGATAATATTATATGGCCACCATGGATAATATTATAGAATACTAGTATTCTATAATATTATCAAACTAAGTTTCCATTCACGCCGAATATTGATAAGGAAAACACCTCGTTTGGAGGACTTTAAAAACCACTGTATAAATATTTGTCTACAAACAGTCGTCCCAGATCTGCATCTCATGCACAGTAAATCAAATACGTTTACATATACTGACCTGGAACTCAATGTATTTTACTAACTAGCAGTGGATTTTTCGCAATTCCGCCCGCAGTACAAGTTTGATCAGTATCAATAACAGTAAAATTATTAATGTTTATTGGTTTACAATAGCTGAGGAATGATATTGCCGATAACACATGCATATTTTTACTTAAGACATTCGCTATTTAATTCTAATAATTATATGAGTTATTATTAAAAATTATTTTTCCTATTTTAATTTGTTACGTTACAGTATTTTTATTCTTTGGATTACCTGTTATTGTATTGTTATTCATATTTATTGTTCAGATTTACTGTAATATGATTATAATAGTCATAATTATGTGATCTTCAGTGAATGTGAGTTGGAGAATGAGCTGAAGCGCAAAATGTCAGGCAAATATACAGAAGGACTGGATAGAGCGTGAACAGCGAGCGATAATTGAAAGTGATCCAGGCAGAGGAAACAACTGGATTTGGGAGAAGGTATTTTTTGTTCATTACAGCTTATGTGAAGCTCTTTGAACGTTGTTTGAAACACCCGTCCAAAGCAAGTTCAGAACAATTATCTAGTGGAATTTAATCAAACATGTCCGTACGCCTGTTAGACAGGAATTTGCTTGTAGAGTTGCATTCATTTTCTAAACATGTGAAATTGTTTTTGGAAAGTTTCTATTCCGGACTCCATGCTGTAAAACTAATGGGGCTGTGTTCTGGTAATTATCGATATTTGTGACTTCTAGGACTGTGCGTTACACATTGCATGTGGAATTATATGTGGGATGGCTTATAGGATCACATGCTGGAGTTAAGATGGGAATTGAAGGTTTTGTTGTGAACAATTTAAATTCTTAAGACAGGTTACGTTAGAGAATTTTGAGTCTATAGAAACATTTCTAGGCCCAGGAATTGTTGGAAGTAAATTTTTATGTTAAATGTATATCTTAATATTCCTGTGTTTTCTTATGTGGACCATAACGACGATTGTTCATTCTCATGTGGACTTCATTCCGTGTATCGTGAGAACTGAATCCTGAAGTAAATAAATATTTTGTTTTTGTTTGAACAGATAGACTCGCCAAGTCATTAAATTGTTATTAAAATACATTTCAAGCTTCTGATGTTATTCAAGGGTTTTTGTAAGCCATTGAATGACATTCATTACTAGCTATTGAACGAAATTCTTAACGAACTACTGTTTCATTCATTGCTAGTTATTGTAAAGCATTCATCGCAAGGCATTAATTGACATCAACTGTAAGACATGTATTCCTGCCTTGTATATGACATTTATTACTAATTACCGTAAATAAGTTTTGTTAGTATAAGATATTCATACCTACCAACCTCAGGATATTCAGTGCCAGCTACTGCAAGACATTCAGTCCTGTTATGTGTAAGTCATACAGTGCCAGTAAATGTCACTCAGTACTTGTTACGGTGTCATACAGTGCTAGTACTTTCACTCAGTGCTTGTAACTTTAAGTCATACAATGCTAGTAGATGTCACCCAGTGCTTGTAAATGTAAGTCATACAGTGCTAGTAACCGTAAGGTGTTCATCCGAAATAACTGTAAGAGGTTCAGGGTTAGTACTAAAGTCTTGCTTAACGTACAGAAACCAATGCTAGTTGGCCAATCTTTCCACAAAGACGAGGTATGATCTGAGTAAAGAATTCACTACGCAGCTAAAATTTTTCGGGCCCCTCATCTTATAAATATTCAAGACCTCAAGCTTTTTCATCTCCATCACACATCCTAGTTCTTTTAATTTCCTTCAACTACGCTGCACAGTTGAAAGGAATATGGAATGTACTTAGGAAGCAAAAAATCAACATTACATTACAAACATCTTCCAGAGATGAGTCGTTCTTTAGAAGAGTTGACTGGGCTATAGGAATGTGAATGACCGAATTTTACTTCCATTATCGTGATGAGTTGTCTTCATTCTATCTTTACGACTCGTGTGACTGTTGCTGGAGCACACAGAAATGCCTTCCTGAAGGTAAATGAATTCTTTCGACCTGATATACTGGTGAATTCTCATATCAGGGTTCAATCTAAATTGTGTTGTCTTCACTCATTCTTCAGGCTTCAGGGCTTTATTAGGAATGCTCGTGAGTGTTCTTGTTGGTGAATGGTGCTGCTGCTGCATGGTGGATGCTGTTGTTAATTGGGTGGTGCTTCCTGGTGGATGGTGCTGTTAATATGATGGTGCTGCCACAATATCTCGCGTCCCTACTCTCCACACAGCGTCTCCTCAACCTGGGCCACAGAGAGCATCTCGCCAGCCTGCTCCTCCTCCTTCTCCCCTCCCCTCACACTCTGGGCAGGACTGGGCCTCTCAAATCCCTGTCGTTGTCTGGCGTCGTGATAAGCTCACTGTTGTCATAGACTGAGTAGTTATCGTCGTGGAGCGGCTGGTCTATGAGACCAGAGCCATGTAGCATTCTCTGCCCATCATTATGGCGCGCGTATAATGAAACATTTCCAAGAGATGCTCTCAAGTGATGATGCCGAGTATATGAACCCAGCGTTATGTGGACGACCACTTATTTCGAAGATATTAGAGGTTAAACAAACAGAAATGTCAATAAGTAATAGAGTGTTAGGAGAGATAAATCTCTTGGCACGAGATTGCAATCAAAATTATTTTCAATGACGTCTAGGGAGAATGTAAAGATTGTTTGATTAACAGTGCAGAGCAGATGTTGCATCTTGAAACTTGGAAATTGAGAGGACGTCCTGAACGGGTTCAGATCAGGTGTAAAGAGCAGTAGATTACTGAATAAAAATGTAAAATATTTGTGTGTTAAGAGAGAACCAAGAAAGATGTATGATAATGTGAGCTGTATGTTAACACCAATGAAGCAGAAGGATCTACAGGTAATAAAGAATTTGGAAACAAAATTGTTTTAAATGACAGGAAGTTCCTTAGAAAGCAAGAGAACTGATGCATTTTTACTGTATAAAATTAAAGCAATAATAATGACTTGCAAAGATGTGATATTTTATGTCTGGAGTTTTATGTATATCCTAAAAATAACATTTTAAGTATATCCTAAAATTTGATTACATTAAAAAATAATAAAGGAATCGACAACACGCTCAATGAAAATGTAATACGGAGTTGAAGGAGAGATGACGTTGAAACGTTTTGAGGTGCTCAGAGGGTAGTATAATATTTTCTGAGCACAGTGGAGGCATTCTTAACCCAACGATGGATCGTGAACATATAAATTGATTAGTTGTGATGATTGAAATGTTATGTACAGTTGTTAAGATTACTGACAATATTCTTACCTATTCTGATGACGTCGGATCCGCCAGCCAGATGAATGAGCATCAGCAGGAGCAGCATTTTGTACAGAGAAGAACATTGGAGGCTTGAGGTAATGTATAAGAAGGAACCCTCCCTACTGATCCTGGGTGGAATATCGGAAAGTGAAAGGATTCTTTCTTTACCGGTCCCTGTTTGACAGGATCTCCATCTTTCCCACTTTAAAGTTACGTCTTTTCCTGCACCCTTGTCTAAGACATCCATATTTAACACGATGAGAACTCTTATGAGTCTTGGTCAAACGTTAGTCACCAATTTAGTGTCTCATGTCGCGCCGACACGTAAATTCAGATTTGTTAAGATATTTGTGTTTTTTTCCAAGAATACGAAATGTTCCGTCAACATTTACGCTAAGAATTATTCATGGGAGAGCTCGTTTGTTGCTTCGTACACTTGTATGCGTTTGTGGCTAAGTATGAATAATCTTTTTTCTACATAACTTTTACTGAACTTAAAAGATTTCATTGAAGCCCCCTATGACACGTATTACAGCAAACTTACTTGTATTAAAAGCAATAGATATCACCACGGTATTAGTTTGAGTGACTGGGCATTGGGAATGCTTACAAAATTCGGCCGTGGCCTAAATTGCTTCTAATATTCTGTATCTTCATAAGAATGGCAACAAATTTGAAATTTTGGTACTATGTAAAAAAAAGAGAGAGAAACGAAAACTACGAAAGCCATTTTCTGTTTCGATATAAACGTCATGAAAACTGTAGTTAACGGGAAACAAATATCTATATATTCCTCAGATTTGAGCGTGACATTAGAATTTCGCGAAGCACGTTTGCTTTACAAGCACTGTTGTTGGAGACCTGGAAGCACGAGGACACACTCCGCCACACACGACCTGAAAAGAGAGGAAAAAAAACACAGTTCAGTACATTGGGTTTACGGGGAAAGGTCGGAGAAAATGTGTAGGTCATTAAGAGAGGAGCTCCTTGGACCTGAAAAGAACAATGAGTGTCGTTAATGAGTAGGAGCCATTGTTTACAGTGCAGCAGCACACGAGGAAAACAAACAGCATTCAAGAACAATGTGGTGGAAGTAATTGATAGTGTTTTTCATTCATTTCGTGTCATTTACACGTTACGACTTTCCTGTGTTTAGTTAACGATTATGAAGTTAATGAGCTCTCTCCTTGGGTTCATGTTTCCGTAGGTAGATATATGCACGTTATATATATATATATATATATATATATATATATATATATATATATATATATATATATATATATATATATATATATATATATATATATATATATAGGAAGGGTACCGGTCGGTGCTTGGGTGTCTTTCCCCTTCCTCCCCTTCCTTCCATTCCTCCCTCCCCTCGTTCTTTCCCCTCCTCCTCTCGTCCTCCCACACTCTCTCCTCTCACCTGTCCCCCAAACGCCATCCCGACCCTCCCCCATCCAATCCTTTCCCCTCCATCACTTGTCTGTCCCACTCCCCTCGCCTTCTCCCCCTCCCCCTTCCCGCCCCTCTCGTTGTCCTTCCCTCCTCCCCTCTTCCACAAACCCTAGCCCCTCTTCCCTTTCATAAAATATTCTATTATAGAGAAATTAAACTAATTTACATGTTTAAGAAATAATTTTGAATGATGAGGGAAAAGTCTTCGGACATCTGAACGAATATTTCACTTTTGACCAGAAATGAATCATTGAGAATCAGGTGGTTGAGGTTTGGGAGGGGGTGGGAATATTAATAATATTTCTTAAATCATTTAGTAAGCTTTGGCCTATCTCGACCTTCCTAAGTATATAGCCTCCAATTCTGAATAGACACACACAGTATTCTCTAAATCATGTTACATCAATGATTCTCACACTTATCATCAATATATTCCTTATAGTCTTCTTTTTAAAGGGAAGTTGAAAAATTAGGTCTTGAACGTTCATTTTGACTTTATTATTAGACCTGACGCGTATCGCTAAAGGATGCGTTTCGCTATTGCAGTTTTGAAAATTGACGGAGGCAAAGAGAAAGTGAACACTTTAGTAAGGGTTACATTACATATACAATGTGTGATGAGGTTAAGAGAGGTATTAAGCAGTCAAAACCGGCAGGGACAGTGAGGTGTAAGGTGGGAATTCTGTCTTAATTTCAATGACGTACTTATATGTAAGCAGGCCGTCGATAATTGGATGAGTGAGTTTGATATGTAGTACCTCGGTCTATGTCAGATCCCCTATTGTTGATTGTCGATTATTTCGTTGCAGTTTAGTTAGGATATCTTTGGTCATGGTACGGATGTGTGTAGATATTATGTGATCTTAGATGGATCCAACTTTTTCTTATAAAATCATTGGCACTTGGGAAAACCCAGCTTTTGGAAGAATCTGATTTACTAGATCATCAAAACAACGAGAACCGAAGGCTGTCAGATATCTTTTCAAGCACCTTAGTGTTGCAGTTCAACCGGAAAATATATGCAGGATCCTTAATTCCTTTCCAATTTCCGAGGATCCTACACATGAGAATTAAGGAGACTGCAGAAGGCCTATTGACCAAAACGTGGCACCTCCTGGCTATATCTACCCAAACTCATCCGTATAATTGTCTAGCTTACGCTTGAAACAATCCATCGATCCTAAGTCTATTATGTTACCCGGTAATGTTTTTTCTTATATCCACAACCCTGTTTCTAAGTCAGAATTTATTTAGGTCTCGTGTAAATCTAAACACATTTAATTTACATCATTTGTTTCAAGTTCTATTTTGTGATATATTAAAACTCTTATTTTACATCCCCTTTTTATACCCTTTCATCCATTTAATATTTCAATCATATCATCTAGTAATCTTTGACGTTCCAGATAATGTAAGATAAGCCATTTATTGTTTCTCTTCAAAGGAAGACTTCTGTTTTGTGTGATTAACTTTATCATTCTTGACTGTTCCCGTTCGAGATGCGATATATGCATTTTTTAAATTGTTTATTTTTGTTATTATTTTCTACCTCAGACGTGGCCACACATTTACAATGCTAACCAGCATATATACATTTTCTTCTGTCCTCCATGGACAGGGTTAGAAATGTGTTAAACATATACTTCAGGGGTTTATTGAACAATCAATCACAGAAGGTGATTCGGTGCTTATGCACTTTATAGTACACAGAACCAAACTGAACTGCATAATCTAAATTGGGCTACAGACAAATAGGACAAAATAAACCTAAATAATATTATTAGATGTCTATGTACAAACTATATACAGGTCAACCTGAGTAAGCTTATGGGGCTCTCTGAAGTGTATTTTATTTTTTTTCTCTGAGAATAATGGCTTTAAATAATTATGTGCATAAATATTTATAATATATTATAGTTTTCATTACAGAAAGTGACAATGACGTGGCTGAAGATTGGACACCCAACCCACACATCTGAAAATAAACTACATGACGACGTTACGGACCGTCGTGGACCAAAACGGTCCTAAATATACCTGAACGGACCAAAACGTCTTCACTTCCTTTAATTTCAGATGTGTTGGTTTGTTGTCGTTTTAATTTGTATTTATTATTTATTTTCTGTGGACGTTTGTATTAAGCCAATGTCGGGATTTTTTGTATAAATTTAAGACGCGGGTAAAATATATGATGGGAAAGAAAGATTAGGAAACACACGAAACATATTACAATCTGGTGAGGGAAGACAGTGTGTCATTCCTCACCTGTGGTGGGGTGAGGTTTGGTGGCCTTACCAGTGGTGGGGTGAGGCTGGGCTGCTTTACCAATGGTGGGGTGAGGGTGGGTTCAATTGGGTCAATTGGGCTCAGTTGGTTCAATTGCCAACTGAGAAAGAAATTATTAGGCAGAGTTTCTTTCGTGTAATGTCCCTGTCCACCTGCCAGTAAACATATATTTAGGAATTACACAGCTATTGTGGGTTGCGTCACAGGGATGAGTGTGTGTGAGTAAAATCAATGCATAGTAGATATGATAGAAAAGTAGTATGGCAGAAAATACATTAGATAACAAACAGTTACAAAGACGAGACCCAAAAGCTAAAACACAAACATACAAACACACTAACAAATTCAGACGCAAACACAAACACTCAAACACACAAGTACACACAAAACCGCACACTCATGCACATAATACCGAATATAAAACAAATATAAAAAATAGGAGCGTTATTCTTTCACATTTTGAAGAAAATTAATGATATATTTTTTTGTATCTAAGAGACACAAGTACATATTGAGGTAGCGAGCAGTCACCATCACCCTGGCCCTCCCTTCACCCTCACCCTGTACCTCCCTACACCCTCACCCTGCCCCTCCCTACACCCTCACCCCGGCCTTCCCTCCACTCTCACCCAGCCCCCTCCCCATACGACACTGATTCTTTACCTCACATGCAAATGAAACCGCCAAATGTGGCTGGGCGCTTTCCCCTCATAATTCCCCCCTTCTCTCTCCCCTCACCCCCCCCCCTCCGCCACCCTCCGCACCATCCAGGAATTTCATCACCGGCGTCTGAGCGATAATAACAAAAAGACGTTAAAACAAGTCTTCGTTCCCTAATTCAGGCCCGACATTTTGTTGAAACATTTTCACACATACACTATATATATATATATATATATATATATATATATATATATATATATATATATATATATATATATATATATATATATATATATATATATATATATATATATATATATATATATATATATATATATATATATATATATATATATATATATATATATATATATATATATATATATATATATATATATGAACTTTGGAAGGAAGTCGAAGAAATAACTTTCCAAAATATATTTTGCAAGTATGTAAGAAGGAAGTATTTCAGCATTAGGCGTCGTAAATAAATTGAATGAATAAGATGAGTATAATCCCATTGCTAACTCAGTGCACAACTTTTGAAAGGAAATTTGAGAAGAAACATGATTGAAAAAAATGTCATTGAACTACTTGAAGTTCGCAAGCTGGGACTCAAAAGCGTGCCGCTTGAGCCAGCAAGAACGTGTAGGTGTATACACACATGACTCTTGCGACCGTTGAAGACTTCTGTGAATCACCAGGGGCCCAAGGCGGCAATTGCTGGTCAGGTCTGAAGCTGTTATTGTGTCGTACCGTTCCCTCGTTTCTACTTCCTGAATCTGGCTCTATCACGGTGAGTGCTACCGGGTGATGTGGGAGTGTCTGAGGGATTGTTTTTGGTTGTGAACAGGGGTGAGAGGGGGTCTGTGTTTGGAAGTTTAAGGGGGTGGGGGATTCTGTTTGGGGGTGATGTGCATTGGCGGGCTGTGTGGGGTTGCTGGGAGGTGGTGCGTGTACATGAGGTGGGTGTGTGTGTGTTATAGAGTGAGGCTGTGTAAACATCAGGCAACAACACATAATAACATTGCGTGTTGTAGCTGCAGTCAAGCTTGGTGTACATAGCTATGAGGTGTTTGAGGTCGCCTGAACATAACCCGCTGCTGAAATTTTAGTGTTATGTTTTCATTTGCAGGGTACATTACTTTATAGGCTACAAAACTGATATATAAAGGCTATATTCCTTGTTATATAGGCCACAATATTTGATACGTAGGTTACATTGCTTTACATGGATAATAGAACATTTGGTATATAGCCTGCATATTTTAAATTGTAAGCTACGGTACTTTACAATCTACAGCATACATATCTTAATATGTATCTACATCACATACCATATGAGCACATAAATTACGAAAAATAATTTGTTGTTTTCTGACTAGACACTTGCCTCTATGTTTTCCACTCATTTCAAATATGGCTTAAATGATCACGACTATAACTCTACAGCTGAGTCGAGGATACCGTCCAGCATACAGCC